ATTATTTGCTAAGCATAAATATGGAGGGAGTCTGGTGGGCGATTTGCTAATATCTAGAAACAGATAGCGCCGAGGAGGTGCTTTGATTAAACTCGTTAATAAAAGGTTTTATCATCACCTGTATTTAAAAAAAAAAAAAAATTTCCTTGCCCGAAAAAATTTGCGGTCAACCAACTCTGGTCTCGGGGCTGATTAGCGCGGAATTTCTTCGGTAAACGATTTTAAAAAATTTTTTTTTATTTTTAATCAACTCGAGTCTCACTGATTTTTTGGGTTGAAAAATTTTTATTTCATTTTTCGACACTTTTGAGTACATTTAGTTATTAAGAAAACGCAAAAACATCGCCTATTTTACTCTCCTCTTCTTCCCTACGTAGCGTAAGCTATAAGCCTCGATCTACTACGTCAGCACGTAAATTTGTTAATACCAATAAATGGTTTTAAAAAAAAATAAAAAAAAAAATACCATCGATCGCAGGTACGGTAAGATCGGGCCTTCCAAGCTTCGCCTTTCCAAATTTCACGACAATCGCGCACAACGAGACGTACGGCTTCTTCGACATGTGCTCCCAACTGGGCTCGGGGATAATCGTCGTGCCCCTCGTAGCTGTTCTGGCCAACGTGGCGATCGCAAAAGTCTTTGGTAAACCGATGCAATTTATATATATACATATACTTGTCGTCACAAGTTAACAACGAGTGTACAGGATGAATGACGAAAAACAAAAATTCCCCTCGCAATCGACAAAGCTAGCGGCGCGGCGATCAACGCCTCGCAGGAGATGCGAACGCTGGGCCTGTGCAACCTGTTGGGCTGCTGCGTTAGCTCGATGCCGACCTGCGGAGCCTTCACTCGTAGCGCCGTCAGCCGAGCCAGCAACATTCAGACGCCCTTGGCCGGCGTTTACTCGGGTACACCCACTTAAATCTTTCTTCTTTCGTACAACCAACTCGATAAATAAGAGCACAATGGCACACGTAGCTCCAACTCCAGACACCTAATGCATGTATCATTCGTGTCCGTGACAAAACGATACCGACGCACGCGAGGATTTATCATACGTGCTATGGCTTGCACAGTTGACTGTGTGTGAAATACCACCTCATTTTTTTTCTTCTTTTTTTTTTCACATTGATTTTTAATATACTTTTCATAATTAAATACCGAACCGATCGAGATTATGTAAAATACGGTTAAAATACGATTACGAGAATAAATGGTAATTGTATCGGATGGATCGTTGATTTGCAAAACACAGGTGTGATGGCAATATTGGCCCTGAGCTTTTTGACGCCCTACTTCTACTACATCCCGAAGCCCGTACTTTCGGCCGTACTTATCAGCGCCGTGGTCTTCTTGATCGATTGGCAAATCGTCGAGCAGCTCTGGCGGGGCAACAGTAAGTGTTTTGGTGCGAAACAAAAAAATTTAAGTAATGATTGATAAAAAAAAAAAAAAAAAAAAAAAACACATACACACAGAGCGAGACGCGGTGGCGACGATCGGTACCTTCGTCGTTTGTATCGTGTTCAACGTGGAGGCCGGCCTGTTACTCGGCATCGCTTCCAACATACTCTACCTGCTCTACCTGTCAGCGAGACCATCGATCGGCGTGACCGAGTGTAGCGTGAGTTTTTTAAAAATTAGTTATGGATACTTACCGATCGTTGTTTGGTTTATTTGATCGGTTTGTCGGGCAAATCGTTGAATCGGCAGGCGGACTCGGAGCACAGGTACCTGCTGATCCAACCGGACGTGGGCTTGTTTTTCCCTGCGGTTGATTTCTTGGCTAACAAGATTGTCGAGATCGCGGACGACCACGGACTCGGGAAAGTCCCCCTGGTCGTGGACTGCCAGAGGTTCAGGGGTGTCGACTACACGGCCGTGAAGGTGATCCCTCTTTTTTTTTTGTTTCGCGACGCAATCTGCGAGAGATCGGTTTTGTAAACGATTTTTTTTTTCTTTTTTTTTTTTTTTTTCAATAGGGATTAGAAAAATTATCAAACGATTTCAAAGAGAGGGACCAGTGCCTGTGGTTCGTCAACCTCAATCCGAAGGTGACGAGGAGGTTCAGGGAGCTCGGAGACCTGAAGAACTTGAGAATACTTGGCGACGAGGCAGAGATCATCGCACTGCTTTACGAACGTGGTAGGCCTTATGAATTTTTCTTTCTTTTGTCCTTAGACGAACGAATGTATTTTATAATATTTTGTGGGTTCTCTTGCAGATACGGGAAATAGCGTGAGTTTGCAGATAATTGGAGAGAGGAAGGAAAAGGAAATTGGCGTGAAAAACGCGATAACGAGCCCCGAAGTGGAATCTCTCATTGCCAAAGAATGCAACGGTAGCCCCGAAGTTGGAAAAGTTGCTTGCTAGAGGACTCGTTGGATCTCCTTCATCCGTTGTGTAACGTCGATTAATTTTACGAAATAGTATTTACATGTAGCTTTATTTCAATTTTTACAGTCATCTATAAAAATAAAATTCCTTACAAACTCTGTATACAAATCGTGGGTGTACGATTGCGTGCTTCTACGCATACGGTTTTACATATTTATTAGTTTGAAGAAACGTTGTTCGTAAAATTTAAATTATTTAAAGCCTTTTTTTATCAATATACTGTAAGTATTAGTACGAACAGCACAAAAATGAAAGGTTGATTAATTTATCGATAATACTTTTTTAATCAAACGATCATATTTTTGTACCTATTGACGTGATCTTGGCGTTAGAATATGACAACGACACGCGTGTGTTATCTAATTGTACTAATTTTAATCTAGACAGCTTTTGTCGACTAAAAGTAAATTAGTAAAAAATTTGATATGTCATCATTCGTGCAGTTGTGCAAGATTAGGATTGTATGCTGCGTGTATACGAAAATATCTTCTTTTTTTTTTTTTTTTTTTTTTTTTTCAAAGCTCTTTTTTTGATTGGTTACTTAATTTTAGTTTGTGTTTGTTAAAGTTTGTTTAAAAATACATTTTTCCAAAATATAATTTGATCTATTTTTTTTTGTTTAACAGTTTATGTTATTTTTCTATTGTAATATTGTTTCTTTGATAGTAGCTAACTTAAATTCTTTTAAGAGTTTTAAACTTTCAGTGGCTGTGGAAGAACTTGTCGCCATGGACGATCATTTTGTTTTTAATAAAAAAATATGTTAATGTATTGTTAAGTTAAACCAATTTTAAAAGATTAATTAAAAAATAAAATTTCTTACTGCATGTGATAACGTGTTATGTACAAAAAAACTTAATTTTAAAAATTATTCTACGCATGAAAGCCTCACTCAAATGTTGGCCCTAACATTTTGATTGGTGCAATAATAGTTACTCTTATAAAGGATTTTTAAATATAAATTATAAACTACGAGTTAACATTAAGCTTCCCTGGTTATCACACGTAAGTTACTTTTTGCCATATTTTTCTCTGTACTTCTCAAAGGCACTTGACCATTTTTTGGACTCTGCCAATTGGTACCTGTAAAACGCTATAATAATATTTATCACGGAGCTCTCGTACTCGTCGTTAAACATGCAGGTGTCGGGCAGAATTTGCGTGAAATTAATATTGACGAAAATCCATAAGCATTTCATTACATCTACTAAAACGTCCTTTTTCAGAACGCTGTTTTTTGTCACTCGTTGAGTAATATTGATGGAAATAATGAGTAGCTTGTAAAAAATGATATCATTCTTGTCGTAATTCTTCAAGTCGATGAGAATACCTTTAAAATCGTTTACTAAGCTGGCCAACTTGAAATCCAAATTCACTGGATGCTTGGCAAAGAAATCGTTGAGCTCGTCTTCGCACATCTTGGCCATTTCTTTGGGAAGACTTTCATCATCACTCATCTTTGAACCAGTCATGCTCAAAGCCTCTTCAACCAACATGGTTGATACTTCTATTGGCAAGCCCATAACTTCGGAAGGATCTAGCAATATTATATCGTTATAACGTATCTCTTTATTCTCCTTTTGTACATTGGAATCCTTCTTTGTTTTCTCTGCTTGATTTTCATCTCCTCTTTCACTTTTTGATGAAACGGAATCCCAGTATTTGCGGAAGGCCTTGACCCATTCTCCACTGTTGGTCTTGACATAATCGTAAGTAGCCTGTACAAATTCGTGAATGTAATGTTGGTACTGAATGTTGAACACATCAATGCCCGGCAAGTATTGGATCATATTGATTTTCACTACACTCCAAATGAAATTCGTAGCGTCCGCGAGTGCATCCTCCTCGGAATACTCACCTGTCGTCGTAATCTTCTTGACAATGCACATGCCCGTTTCTAACAATAATTTAATGATCTTAGAGTTTTCAGCTACGTCTTGTAAATCACTTACAATGCCCTTGTAGTTCGTAGTGGTAGTAGTAACGTCTGAGGGAAGAGCTACGGCTTTCTGTACACAGAAGTTACGTACCGTAGATATTCCAGATTTAAGTGCATTTGAGGATATTAAATTAGTTCTGGATGGTGCATTATTACTAGTGGGGGTGACACTCGGTTTAGAATTGCCCGTTGTTACTTGGTTTATCAATTCTAGCATACCGTCTTTAGACATTGAAGCAAATGCAGAGGGATTAATTAGTGTGACGCCATTAATTTGTACTTGACCCTCGGCAAAAGACAGCTGGGTACCGGTTGATGCAAATGTTTTTCGATTTTGTACCATTGTTGCAAAAAACTCGTCTTTGTTGCTGATTTTGGTGAGCGATCTGATGATCTGCTCGTTCCGATGAACTTCGTCAACTACATTACTTCCAGTGTTTCTTACGAGGCGACGGAACTCTTTGCGATGTCTGTTGCTGCGCAAGCTCTCCTCGTAATCTTTTAATATCTGATTCTGATCGGACTTGATGATATCCGATGCAAGCCTCATTTTTACAGCAGAGTTGCAGATAAAGAGTACATGAGCCGTTAGGAAGAACACATCCTTGGCAGACACTTCGCCGGTTTCCCTGTATTTTTGAACCATTGCGACAGAATTGTACCCCACCCCGACGGAATTGACGAAAAGATTGCCAATCATGATGGCATCGTGAGCCACTCGAGCGCTGGTGCCAATGCTAGTGCCAGTGCGTATGGCTCGAGACAAAAGAGCAGATCCACTGCTGGCGGCTAATCCTAAGGTACTGCCGGCTACTCCAAGCCAAGCTGGAATTGCGTGCTTGTTTACAATACTGATTGACTGATCGTGTTTGCCACGATCGACTAGTTCTGTTACCGCTCTGCCACCACCCCATGCTCCTGACACGGCCCCGCCAACAGCACCTGGGATTCAAACAATATTCGATTAATACTTTGAATTATTGATTTTCGTGTAACAAAGCAGAGTACAAAAAAGCAATCACCTGCTAGTGCAACTGGAGCAGATATCGGATTGAATATGGCAGCAACGCCTATCCCAATGCAGCCCAAATTAACAAGAGTACTGGCAATATCAACTGCATTAGTTATCTTTCTGGTAGTATTGATCCTATGGGCTTCTACCCACACAGCGGATGTTTTATCTGACCAGACTTCTTTCAAATCAGCTTGGTAAATTCCATTTTTGGGAGCAACCATAGTACAAGTGGGCAGATTGTTGTGGGTCAAGTAATCTTTCCATCCATTGTAAACTCTAGCTTCAGTGTCTATAAACCAAACTTGACATTCAGTCACAAGCTTTTTTTCTACCTTTTTCTGAATACATTTTTGAACTTTAAAAATTGGTATAATCTGTATGGTCTCGTGCAATTGGGAAACATCATATTGGGATAAGGAACTATCATCGTAGATGCAGCAGTATATTGCACTACACAGCACCTCTTCTTCTTCAGTCAATTGGGTTCCGTGTTCAATAACCTTATGAAAAATAGAATCTATCAATTCTATGGCCCCCTTTTCTTTATAAAAATACGCTCCATTCTCTTCTTTTTCGTTGCAACTTTCTTGGTCATTTTCATCCTCTTTTTGGTTACAACTTTCTTCATCCTTTTGATCGTTGCAAACATCTGGGTACTCTGGTGGCCCATACAATGCATAGCCAATGTAGTTCTTGAGATATACGTGCTCGTCTGCGTTGTACTTGTTCCAGTCACTACTGATTTCGTAATAATTCTGCTGGTAATTCGTTGCTATCCAATAAACCGCAGCCTATACAAAGACAAACGTAAAACAACGATCCAGTTATGTAACTGACTTAATTGATCCACTTTGTTTGGAGAAAGGAAAAAAACTGTACTACAAAAAATTGACGTGTTAAAAAACACGAAGCCTCAAAGTTATTAATGAGAGGATGACACTTGACATCCGCTTATGGATGAACAAACAGTAAAAGTACAAGATACAAGTATTCAAGTGTATATTATACACATGCAGAGCTACAGATGTCACAGAAGGTACTTTATGAGCGTAGGAAACGGCGCATGCAATATTAATAGATACATCTTACCTTGAGCTCATCGATTTTTGGCTTCTCCATTATCTTATTTATCCTCTTGTCATAACAGAGTTAAAAAAAAAAACAAAATAATTAAAAAGCGATGCGTGATCGTACTTTTTTATCTTATGCTTATTAAATAAGCTTTTGGCAACAGTGATGGCCTCAAAACTGACATCAAAACAGAAGCATTGTCCAATTGGAGCATGTCGCAATAGAATTTTCGGGAGTCGCAATAAGTTACTATGCGTGATTCACCGTTTTCGCACCTCATCTATATTATTCACACGCAACTTTCGTTTTCACATGATCGTAATCGCACATGCACATCAACTCCCCCCCAACTCTCTCAGGAGGCTTGATAGTCCAGCACCGTCAATAATACTTGCACTAAACAATAACCGTAATTTAGGTATATACTTGTGAGGAAATTGTAGACACAAATAAAAGACGAAAAGTCGTGGTCTATAAAACTGATAATTAACGCCGTGTTTTGTAAGAAGCTTTCGTTTTGATGACAGTACTGTAAAACTATACGCAGTTATGTACCCATACCCACATCTATTGTGTACACACTTTGACACTTGACAGTCTTGACACCAACAGAGCGGATGTCTTCTTTTTTTGTGTCGTCTATGCAGTCTCTGCACCTTTTGTCTTCTCTCTCTTTCTAAGAACTGCTGCAGCAGCTGCTATTGAATGTTTTGTTCTCTTATATATATAAGCTATATAATACATGTTTTCCAAAAATGCTGCCAGCAATTGTAGTATGTTAAAATGCAATTGTAATAAAAGTATTTAAAGTATACCTGTATTATAGTAATACTAGTAATATAAAAGTATAAATATACTTTTAGGCGGTCGATTTTCGAGTAAAAGATAAATTGTAAACTTGCCGCAAACAGCACAAACCATTTTAACTTTTTATTTTCTATCTATAATATTAGTTGCGGCTGGTTTATAACTAATTATATGGCTCTGCTGTAAGTGGTAAAAATTTTTTTGGATCAGCGCCATCTAGCGTTAAAGATTTTTGAACTAAAAAGTAGCCCTAAAATTCTCAAGAGGAGTTTTAGACATTTTTGGCTCTAGAGCCATTTAATCAATTATAAACCAGCCGCAACAACTTTCATAGACATAAAATAATAAGTTAATTTTGTTTGCACTGTTGGCGGCAAGTTTACCATTTATCTTTTATCCAAAAGTACAAATATATAAAAGATCAATATTCAGATAGAATATAGATTGCAAACTTGCCGCAAATAGCACAACTAACGTTAACTTTTTATTTTGTATCTATACTAGTAGTGGCGGCTGGTTTATAACTTATCTTTGACTTAAATATTGACTTTCTATATATTTATACTTTTGGGTAACATAATTTACAAACTTGCCGCAAACAGCACACGCATTGTCAATTTTTTATTTTATATTTATTACAATGATTGCCGCTGATTTATAATTGATAAAATGGCTCTTCTGTAAGTATAGTAATAATTTATTGGATCAGCGCCATTAGGTATCTGTTTTAGTTCCAATTCGACACTTCCCCATCCTAATTAGGGACAGCACAAAGGGTCCCTATAGGGCCTTGACATGGCGACATTCACCACCAGGTACGAAAACTACTCAATTTCGGGCAATTTCCATTTTTTATAAGAGGTAAATCATCATCAATATATTTCTACATTTTTTTTTCGTACAGCTATCGGTGAAATACTGATTACTCATCTATATTCACAGTCAAATCTGCGATTCAAGAATGTTTTTACTTGCTTTGATTTTTTTAGAGTACTATGCCTATGTCATACAATCGTATAATGACACGTATAATCTTATTCCAACAAATTTTTACTAAAAATGTTTATTTGCAAAGTCATTCATGATGAGAAAATTTATTTGGTGAGTGACGTACTTTTGAATGGGCATAATTTTTTGAAAACTTGAATTAAAATATAAAGAAAATGAAAACTTAATTACCAAAGAGAATTATTTTTATNGGAACATTTTTTTTACAGAAACCAAAAGTGTCAGGACCATTTCCTGAGAGTCGTAGAAAATCCATACTAGTTGCTCGGCAAAACTTCTGTAATGCTGGAAGTGGGTTTAATTATGGTATAAACATATAAATTACTACATATCTACTAAACAAGACAATTAATTATGAAGTGTAATTAACAATCACATCGGTAATATTAAACTATGCTAAACAAAATTTTTACCAAAGAGAATTATTTTTATGACTTCTGTATCATGATATGAAATCAAGAAATATTTGTAAATGGACTTTCAAAAACTATTGATTAAAATTAGCTCTAACTTGCTTAAAAAAACTTGAAAAATTCCAATTAAAGAATTTTTATTCATCAAGAAAAATACATAAAATGCACGATACTTTCTGCGATATCTAAAATAATTTTTGTTATAAGAATACAAATGAAAATGTGATGAAAAAATCGCGAGAAATTTGTATTACTTTTATCAAAATACGAACGGAAAAAAACTATTTTCTTTATTCGAATTGCAGTCGTTTTGGGGGGGATTTTTTTTGATAAAACCATTTATGACCCAGAGTGTAATTATAGATCCACATGCCATCAAGGTTAGTACACTTTAATAAACAAAAAAAAAAAAAAATATAAGTTGTATACCTAACTGTTTTTGGGAGACACATTAGGAGCGCTCACATTTCTTTTATCGGACTAACGGACAAATATCATCGAAACATATTTTTAATTCTTCAATGAACTTAACAGCGTGGTCATTATTACTTGTATTTACTGCCTTTATATTTTTGGTAATAAAATTTTAACATAAATAAATATGATAGTAATAATAATACATCTTAACACATACGGTAGTCAAACGAAAACTGAATTTTGATAATCGTTTTTGCAATTTATTGTAATCCCAATCCTTAAGAGCATTTCACTACGAGTGCGTCGTAATCAGTAATCAAGCAAATTAACTCCTATAAAAATAATTATACCATACGTGCAAATAATTTTAAGGACGAACTATATTATACCTTTACATTCAGTTACTTTTTTCCAGTATAAGCAATGGGATTTGAAAATATCGAAATTGCAAGGCAAAATTTTATTCAATGCAGTAATTTTTTATTAGATTCATCAAGCGTGTCTCTCACTATCGATTGTGCAGGTGCTTTATGATATACTATTTAGGAATCGAACCAAGAATTTTAATACATTTCCATGGGACTCTGGTTTTGGTAAATTAATCGGTCAACTGGAATTTTGCTGTAAATTGTTTACTACTGTCATTGACACATTAACAGAGTCGCTATAAAAATATTTTTGGTACATTGATAAGTCATTCCCACTATTTTCAAAATTTTCTTGGCTATATAAGCTGAAAGTTTCGAATTTCGTACCAAACAGTTCAAGACTTCAACAGTTCAACACTTAAAATTCTACACGATGAATAAGTTGGTTTTATTAATCCTTGCCTTGTGCATCACCTTCGTTTTTGCAGTGAGTAAAAAAAGAGTTTTCTCCTTACACCATACTTTGACGGGCGACGTAGCCTAGTTTATAGTCCAATAATCCTACATATTGTATCCACAAACAATAATGGTCCTAAATTTAATGAATGCATTTTTTCAACTGAATTTGATTTTATATTTCGCTTTCAATTTATCATGTTTGTATTTTTTATGTTTTATACTTTTCTTCAGAGTTTCCATGTAGATTGTTAGTCCTCTAGTCGGAGATACTCTATGGGATATATAATCCTGTCGAAAAATATTAGATTTTTCTAAATACTGTAATTAGTTAGAGTCCAGAAAATTTCCAGAAATTGTGATGGATAAATAATTGCATATATTTTCATGTTTGGAATATTTTTTCACAGGTACCAAAATTGTCAGGCCCTTTCCCGAATAATCGTAGAAAACCTGTACTATCTGCTCGACAAAACTTCTGCGAGGCTGGAAATGGATTTCATGCTGGTAGAAATTAAAAACCACCATATTTTCTTATTATGCTCTTTCACACTTGACAAGACAACCATGTGGTAGAGTATTAAATTTAAACAATTTAATATTTTATGATTTTTTCACAGACAAACTTCGAAAAATAAAAGAAACTCGTATTTTTCCATCTGACAACAGCTATTATTGCTACTTGGGTTGCTTTTGTACTGAAACAAAATCTGTACGTAACAATCATTGTATTTTTTTGACAAATACACTTTTTTTATTGCAGATAATGACAGGTGATAAATTTCTCAGTGAAAAATATATAGATATCGCTCTCACTCGAACACTCTCTCAACAGGATTCAGATAATCTTATTAGTAAATGCAAACATGTGAAAGGTATGTGGCATAAACTAACATTTTTTATAAAATCATCAAAATAGGAATCTGTTTATGTATTTGGCTTTTTCATCGTTGCATAACTAAATAATTTTATACTTGGTTGTCCATTACCTTTTAATTAATATTTAAATCAAAGAAAAAAATTTTTTGTCTAAAAAGTTATGGTACACAACTCCACTATAGGCTAAAGCCTTGACGTTCTGTGACGAGTTTTATCCTAACGTATTGAGAGTCTCAGACTACCAACTTTTTAAGATGAGCTGCTGTTTACTTTCAATTGTTTTAGCTATAAATACATAAGCTATATCTGTACAAATACATGTACTCGTGAGTGCACGTACATATTAAAATTGAAAGTCTGATGTGTACCATTAACGTTGCAACCACAAATGTTTTCCGTGTAAAAAACTAATTTCATGTCTTTTACGAGGATATCTTGGGAATAGCCATTGAAATACGGTTATAGATGCAGTTTAAATACAGATGTACAAAAGCAATTTAGATAATTTTTATTAATATTTTTTGACGCATACATTTCTGTGATTATAAAAATATTTAGTAACATGAGAATTATAAGTAAACTCTAATTTCAAATTAAAGGGTAATCAATACACATACAATCGTATAAACACTCAACTCAGTACCATCTAAATGTAAATTTAAAGAAAAAAAAAAATTTTCAACTCATTGCGTTAATTAAAGCGCAAATTTAAATAAACCAAAAAATTTTAATCATTTAATTTTTTTCAGTTGCAAAAGATGTATGCGAAGCTGGGAAAACAATTCATAATTGTTTTGCTGCACAAAAAATTATCTAGCAGATTTTATTGGTTACATTGATGGTGAAGAAGTGTAATTAACAATCACATCGGTAATATTAAACTATGCTAAACAAAATTTGATTGATAGTTGAGAAATAAAAGATAAGGTATTATAATAATATGTATACAAGGTGTTTTATTTCAACTCTCCCAAGTATCGTGCATAAGTAGTTAAACTCTCATTTTTTGAACCTTGGCTGAGAAGAAATCAAAAATTGGTTTACTTTGGGCAAAATCAAGGTTACTTTAAACTTTTTTTTATTTTTTTATGTTATGCAAATACTATCAAGAGTTTGAATGGTTATTGGTAAAACTAGTAATGAATAGTATAAAAAATGAGTAACCCGACAATTCGTTCAAACCGTACAAGTACCCGCTCCTTTCCAAACCCATCCCACGGGAGAACAACCGTGTGTCGAGGGACAATTTTTGCCACAGAACGGCAAGGTTACTGCACCAACGAGAGAGCCAACTTGATGTTATAACACAAGTCAATAAGAACAAAATACGCGTGAGCTCTCTTTCACTGCTACGTGCGGTAAGTGTCTCTGCTGTGGTGCACGGACAAGTAAGAAAAAAAAAAAAAAAAAAAAAAAAAAAAAAAAAAAAAAAAAAAAAAAAAAA